ACAGAAACTGCCAAACTGCTCACCAAGTGGCTTCGGCATTTTTTGTTCCCTTCAGTATTCAATAAAAATTTTAAACTGACTATTCAAGAGATGTGGGAGCCTTTGCATGTGTTCCACTCCTGCACTCTGTGTGCGTGTGTGTGTGTGTCTGTGTGTGTGTGTGGTGAGATGCATTTCAGCAGCTTGACTCCAATGAGAAAATGATTAGGTCTGTAACACTACAGACCCACTTCGATGTATTAAGGCCTCACAGTGGACCAGATGGGGCTTCTGAGAAACCCATCCTAGTGTATGTACCTATGCTGGGCCAACTTAATGCCAATATTTGGGGTTTTTAAAAGGTCCCTAATTATCACCTTTCTTCAATAGTGCTGCATTCTTCCACCACTCTGTTTTATTTCCATTCTCCATGGTTGAGTTCCACTGAGTGCACTGGGCTCCGTGTCTAGAATCTTCATTGTGATCTTCTGCATCCTCCTTAACATCTGCACTTTTATCCGTGGATAACACATAGCAGCATTCTCCTACTCATTTCTCTCTGATAGGCAAATACAAACATCCAACAAGACTATAGCAAATACTAAATCCTGTGACCCAATCAACTACTCTGGCTCACCTGGACACGCTGCCACTGATTGCCACTGTCCCTTTGGCTGCATCTAATTGTAATTAATCCATTAAAAATCTGTGACTTTTTTCCTCTCCAAACCAATTTGAACTCGTTTTATTAGATGTCATGAGATACTCCAACCACTTTCTAATATTGCACAGTGTTGGCTCTTAGACCCAATCTTGTAATGTGTTTGCAAATGCTATTACACTTCTTGGACATGGTTTGTTTCCAATAATCTCAAAGCTATTTTATTTGTTTACTGGAATCCACAGCCCACTATGTGTTTTCTTATTCTTTATTTACCAAGTGTACAAAGCTCCCTGCAATACCCCAGAGTGTCAGGCACTTGATTTCCAGGATTTCTGAGAGATGAGAACAGACCTAGGGGTAGAACCTAAAGACAAGGATGACTTTGAGTTGGCGATAGGAAAAGAAATAGAACATTCCAAAATACTCTCTTTACAATACACAACCATATATATACAATGGATATATATATATATATATATATATATATATATATATACACACACACACACACACACAACCAGGGATTAAACTCACAACCTCACACTTACCAGGCAAGTGTTTGAGCCACTGAGCTAAATCCATGGCCCATTTATAATTTTTAGAAATCACTTGTAATTCAAAAGGTAAAATGTGCTTAAAACTAATCATTATCTAAACCTCTGAGTAGCCAAATGTATGAGTTTCATCTGTTAGAAAATTTCATTTGAGATTTCCTTCTAAAAAGCAGTTACAGGGAACAAAGTCTCCAAAAAGAAAAAAAGAAGAAAAACTAAAAATCAATCATCACCAAAATCTGGAGCCATTTCACTGTCAGTTCTTAAATTAGCCTAACATCCATGGCCCCATCCGAGCCTGTGTATCTCCGCCAATGCTAAGGTCAGTGATAGATGAGGCTCCAACACTGGACAAAATGCCCACTCTGCACCAGGCAGTCTTCACTCTGCATGCATCATTTTATTTAGTCTTCACAGAATCCAGTGAGGCAGCTATAATTATCCTCACTTTACAGATGAGAAGCTGGGGATCTGAGAAGATAAATGACTTGCCCAAGCTGGCATAGCCCGTAAGAGGCAGAGGCGGATTCAAATGGAGGACTTCAGACTCCTGAGCACATACTCTTTTCTTCAGACCACACTGCCCACTGAGCTAAATTCCCCATCCTCCATCCTGGCTGCTAGGAGACTCCACCATCTCTTCATCATCATCAATAAATATTTATCAAGGACCACTGCCTACGTAGCATTGCTCTCGTTTCCACAGCAACACACTGTCAGAGAGTCATGGGAGTATCCTGCGTTTGAAAGAACAATGCTGTAATGTCCTCTGATCGTGGCTCTGAAAGGTGACAGTCACACTACTACAGGGTACACTGTCTCATCTGGCAGCCTGCAGCCTGCAGGAGCTGTGCTGAGAACAAGCGAGAAGGAATTAAAGTAGAGGAGAAAGATAATGGGCTGTAACCCAAGAAGATGATCTACGTTACGTTTACTACGTGTTTGCAACTGTTGCTGGAACAGAATCCAAGCTGGGTCCTCACATTAATTGTTCGTTTATTAGAAAACAAATCACACGATTTAGAGCAGAAAGTAAAATTTGACTGTACTACCAACAGTTCCCCAGAGGAATCTGGCAGTGATTATTGAGTTAAATGACTACATTGCTAGCAATCAGAACCCCAAGTCTTTAAGATCCGTTTTTGTTCTCAACATAGATTCTGAGGCTCACTAATAAATGGACTAATTATCCCCTCATCTATTTGTTTAAGTGCCACCTTCTTCTCTTATCCCAAATCATGTTCTGCTACACCATTCACAGACATTTCTTTTAATTTCTTCTTACTATTGTTCCTTATAAAAATTGTCACGGCTCATGACACATGTTAGAGGAAGGAAGAAGGCGATTGCCTTTTGATGACAAGCTTCCACTTCTGCCTTTCAGACACCATGACCAACATGTTACAGTAAAACCTATCATCCCAACTACGTCTTAGATGTAAGCTTACAAATTGAAATTGCCTTCAAGACTGGGAATCTCCAGATCAAAGGAATATGGAAAACACACCACTGAGTTATAAAATGCATTATTTACCCAGACTTGCCAAAAGTTTTGAGGAAGCCACTTTAAAGGAAACCGAGCTATCATCTTATTCATAGTAGATTCACATTCCAACAATTCTGCATTTAGGAGTAAAACAAGATACTTTTTTTAAAAGTTAACATTTATAGCATTCCTATCTCTACAAATACAGATGTTCATAAAGCAGCCTGGGGCCAGGATCGAAAATCTAATTTAAATGATCTAGTTAGCATTAAGCCATAAAGAAGAGGATATAGGAAGAGAAAAAATACCCATGTCTACACACGAGAGAGTCTTAGAACGCACTGAATCTCCAACACAAACCAATCCCACTCCTGTGTGAACCCCAAGTACAAACGTCGCCCCTAGCTAAATATATGCTATAGTAGGTTCGCAGAAGCAGCCCTGCTCAGGTAGAAGAACCAAAACAAACACATGGCTCCTTAAGAGATTTCTTCCCAAACTGTCCCACGATTGCTGTTCTTTCCACGTGTTGCGAAGAGCAAACAAAGAAAAGGTGCTTGCTCCTCACCCTTCTCTAAATGTTTTAACAAAAGGCTGCCGAATAAATACATTACTCATTTTTAAATTGAAAAGAACTTCTATTCCTGAGATGAAAGCCACTAGGTTTGCATTTTAACCGTTGTGGGCGAGCGCCACCTGGCGGCAGCACTGGTCACGGGCGTGCGTCAGCCCTGGACCGCTTCCCGCAGAACCGGCTTTACAGCTCACTAACCAGGAACGGTCTGAGACCCGGGAGAAAGATTTTTATCCTGTTTTAGCCGCGGGAACGTGAGTACTATGAATGTGTAGTAGGCCAGCCAGGCCTTGGAGAATAGTGAAACCTGAGTCATAAATCATACCCGGACTGCCCAGAGCATCTTCCTCTCCTGTCTTCCCTAGGACCCCGAAATGAAGAAAACAAGACTGTGCACCATCTTTGAAGTGTGGTCGCGGAGGTCACCCTGCTTCCCTTATTAACCCAGCCTTTCAGTTTCCCACGTCTCCAAAGACGTGTCTTCATCGTCCGACTTCCCAGCCACGCCAAGGAGCGGTCCCTTCACGGAAGTCCTCGGTTCCATTTCTACTGTCCAGGGCGCCTCGAACTATCTCTAATGAAATGTCACTCCAGTGGTCCTCACCCCCAGAGCGGCCTGCTGTAGAGACATTACACTTCCCACAGGGAGCTAGGTTCCTTCTTTCTTGCAATGCACGGGCACAGTTGTTGCTTGCCAATCCAGAAAGAACCTTTCCCTAAGTCCCGCGTGCATGTCTCAGGAGCCTCAGCTGAACCCTCAGATAATGGGTGCTAAGAAACTTCAAGGTGATTCTCAACTTGGAAGTCCACCAGCATCGCTTCCTCTCTTTTCTTTCCCTCTACCACCTACTCTTTAGGGGACTCAGGGACGCAAGCTTCCTGCAGTGAGGTCTGTTGACGCCTGAGCCCTGGGTCAGTGTTGGGTGTCCTGCACATGCAAGTTACCATTGGCAGAAAACACACACGCGCGCGCGCGCGCGCACACACACACACACACACACACACACACACACACACACACACAGGTACACGCACACAGAAACTATCTTTGTTCACCTTCTAGGGGCAAAATCTCATGAGTCCCATGAACTTCGCAGATTAGATGGCCAGACAGGTCAAAGTCACTGGGCTTGAAGGGCCCTAGCAGGGGTGCCCTTTACTGGGATAAAAGCCACCAGATCTGGAGGAGATCCTGCTGTCTGGGTCTTGAACATGCGCACCCCGAGGGTACCTTCAGCGATTTGCTTGAGGACACGCGGAGGGGCACAGGGTGTCAGGAACCACACCGGCGCTTCCACTGTCTCCGAGGAGAAAGGAAAAGCCACCGCCCTGGCAGACAGCTCGGCCTGCGAGAGCTCCGTCCTGCCCACTTGGCGCTGCCCGCGGAGCAGCGAGCACAGGCGGCCTCTCCGACGCCCGCGCCGCTCCCCAGCTCCGCGCCCCAAACACTCGAGCGACAGATTCCGACAAGTGGGAGGCGGCAAGAGGAAATATTCGCAACAACCGCGGAAAGTTACTCCAGCCCAGCCCGGGGGCCGCAGCAAAGTAAAGCGAGGAACTTGGCGAAACGCGGGCGACCGGGGCGGCCGGGGCCGGGCGCGCTGCACCCGGTGCGCCTCCCTCGGCAGCCCGCGCCTGGCCGGCGGGACCGGGGCCGGGCCCCGGGAGCCCGCCAACTTTCTCCCCGGGCCCGCGGCGGGAGCGGGGCGCCGGGGAGGCGCGGGGAGCCCGCGGCTCACTCACCTGCGGCGCTCTGCGCCCGGGCGCCGGGCAGCGGCGGCAGCTGCAGGAGCAGGCTGAGGGCGAGCGCGGCGAGCTTCGCCATCCGGGCGGCGGCCATCGGGGGCTCAGCCCCTTCCCGCGGGGGCCCGGGCCGGGATTGAGGCGGGCGCGGGGCGGCCCCGCATCGCCGGCGCGGCCGCGGGCGGGCGGGCAGTGCGCGCTGCTGGGCGCCCGGCTGGCTCCGCTGGGCTCCGGGAGCCGGCGCCGCTGCGCTCCGAGCCGAGGCGCGGCGCGAACTGAGGCGGGAGGCTGGGCGGGGGCGGGACGCGGGGGCGGGGGGCGGTGTCCCCCGAGTCCTAACGCCGCCGCCGCCGCCGCTGTCCCCGCCGCCCGCCCGGGCGCTCCGCCTCGACCGCGCACACACCCTCGCGCGCACGCCCGCGCCCGGCACACGCCCGCGGCTGGCACACGCGGGCTCCCCCACGCACCCTCGCCTGGACTGGCCGGCTGCGGGTCGCTGGCACAGTCACGCGCTTGTACACTGCACCCTGGCACCCCCCCAGACCCGCGGGGTCCTGGCCTGCTCGCCCCAAGCCACGCTACGCAGCTAAGCACCATCTGCCCTGCGGGGGCGCAGGTATGAGGGCGGTGGGGGAGGAGGGAGAGGCAGAGGCAGCAGCCTTTGGAACTCGGGCTGGGGGGAAAAGTGAGGCAGGAAGGGGAAGAATGCCAGAAGGAGCAGAGGTCTCAACTCGGGATAGGGGGCCAGGTGAATTGCTGGGGTGTCCCCAAAGCTCGGGCCGATAGCTACTGTGGAGGGTTAGCACACCCAGAGATGAGAATTTCCTACAAGAGTTTAATCTCTTCTCTCCTTCTCCCTCTCTCCTCTTTCCGTGTCTCTGTGTCTGTCTTGTCTGTCTGTCTGTCTGTCTCTCCTGGCCACATTGCTGACTGCCGCTGCAATAACCCCCCATTGCACTGCTACCTAGTTAGAAGCCCAACACCCATCCACACCCCTTGCGCTCCCGCTGTTCTCCCGTGTTTCCCAACCGACGTGGGGGTGGGGAAACCCTAACGGGGAGCGAAGAGGTGAGGCAGCCCTCCCCTACCCCCCTGGCCGCCTTCCTTCTTCCCTTCCTAGGTAGCAGAACCTTAGAGCTTTTTTCTTTTTCTTCCCGGTCTGAACAAAGACCTGGTTGGGGCTGAAAACCTAAAGCCACCGATCAGAATCCGGGCTGCTCCTCACAGCCAGGGCTTTGGGCTGTCCAGCAAGCAGGGATCCCGTGGGCTGGAGTATGCTGCGGCCTGGGCCTGGGTCTTGGATGAAGTTCTGGGATGCAAAAGAGATGGGGACAGTCAGACGTGATGAGAGGATTCCACTTTGTGAACACTTTGCCTTCTCTCCATCTATTTCAACACATCACCTCCCCCATCCTTACTGGGCTCCTAAGGACTGAACCAGACAGACTTGCGGAGTCCTGTCAAAGTAAGGCATGGCCAGGGTTTCCCAAAGTGGGGAGCCTCAGGCTCTGCATTGGAGTTGCTGTAGTAAACACAGAGCCCCTCAGCCATATCCCTGTGCCCACTAGGTGGAGTGGCAGTTGCTTGCTCTCCCATTCTTGTAATCCTAGGCAAATTCTACCAGCCCTGCATGGACTCCGGACCACCATAGCCAAACACTTTCAAAGGGAAAGTGCTTGGGCCAACCAGTGTCTCCTACACTTGCCTGGAATTACAGGTGAAGTAAGGTAAAAGGGTTCCTCAAAGTCTTCCTTCCAGCCTACTGCACAGAGAGAATGGAAGTCAACAGGTCTTGGAACCTGGGAGTTGGGCCTTTCGCAAACTTCCCCAGTGGTCCTTTATAACTCTGCCAGTATTGATGGTGCACTTAACTGTACCATATTCCGGGCTCTTCTCTGGGGATACAAAGATGATTGGCCCTTGGGGTGATTGGAATGGGAAGATCCCTTTTGCTCAGAACAAAATCACCAGCTGTTTGCTCCAGCAAACCTCAACTCAAACCTTGGGCAGATGAGTTGTTAGCCAGCCTTGGAGAAGAGACCTGGCCCCTGTAACCCCAGTCAAGGCTGATCCCAGGAGCTGAGCCAGGTGGGGAGGAGGAAGGTCTAAACCACTAAGGAGCTTGGTGTCACACTTATAACCTGCCCCAACTCCTTTGGGCTCCTGCCAATCCAGTCTCTCATTCTCTCTCCTTCTGAAAAAGTGTAAAATAGCAGTTCTCACAGCATCTTCTGAACCTAGCCCTCCTGTACCTCCATGCACCCACATTCCAGGGATGCCGTATGGGTGCAGGCAAAGTTCCCAGGTCTGAATGGGGTTCATGTGGTCTCAAGAAAAGCTGTTTCAGTGGTGCTTGGGGGCTTGGACATAAACCATGACATCATGCTTTCTAAGCCACCCTGTCCCCTTTATTTCTCAAGAGTGTGTACTCCCACCTGCTACCCAGCAGGGCTCTGGCGTCCAGCCTGATCCACAGGCTTCTGCACCTGCCTTTCACTCTGCCAGAATCATTTCCCTGGTAAACGCACATGAGCCCTTAAGGTTCCATTCTGCAGCTTTGGCCAGCAGGCCCTTCCTGCCCAAAGCATGATGCCAAGGCCCCCTGCACTTCTGCTGCAAGGATGCTGTCTCCTCACTAGTCTGTTCCACAAGACTGAGTTTCCAGAGGGCTCCTGAGCACTTTACATAGTGCTGCCGGACAATAGGAGTCTAAAGAATAGAACAAAAGGATGGGCGGGAGGCGAGGGGTGCTTCCAGCCAAGACCCTCAGAATCACCTGTAAAGGAGGGCACTCACTGAGAGCTCCAGCTCCCACTGCAACCACATCAGTAGCCCAAGTGCTGGTTAGGAAAGGACCTGCTTTCCCCTCCACCCAACAGCATGGGGAGCTGCACCATGACTTCATCTTGGCCCCTGGTGCAGGGCAGCAGCTCAGTGTCTGTGCTGAAGGGAACAATGGGGCTTGGAGAGAGCTTCAGAATGTCAGGAGAGGTGGCACAGCGATCCACCTTGCAGCCTTTTGCAGTGCTGCTGAACCATAAATCCTTTTGTCTTGGGGCCACTCTACTCTTAACCCTGTGGAACCTTTCAAAAGACCTCTTGGGATAGAGTTTCCCTGTCTTCACAGTGGCTTCTCCTTCAGGTCTAGATGTTTTATCCACATGCCATTTTGAGGGAAGCTAGTGTGCCTCTGCCTGCCTGGCAGGGATCGAAGACCATGAGTCTGCAGCCTGGGCAGCAGACATGGCCTCTGCCCTCCCCTCAGGAAGCTATAGTCTGGTGGGGAAGGCAGGACAAAGGGAAGAGGGTAAAGGACACAGCACTGGCCTGCCCCACATGCCCAAGGTTGTCCTTCCTCCCGCAGGAGCAGAGTGCCACAGGGGACAGGGCAGGGTGCCTTGCTCACCCAGGAGACAGGCTGGTGATGTAGCTGGCACTTTGTCTCCATCTTACACACAAAGAGACTGAGGTTGAAGGATGACAGAGGCCCTGCGTCGGGAGGTAGCACGAATCACTTCTCATGTCACAGGGGGCTTCTTCGCTGGAGTCTTCTTTTTGCCGTAGTCCAGAAAGCTACTAACTACTTATATTTAAAACTGAGAAGTTCAGCTCTTAGTCACACTAACCACGTTTCAAGCGCTCGGTAGCCACATGTGGTTAGCGGCTGCCATATGAGACAGCTCAGCTCTAAAACATTTCCATCATCACAGGAAACTCCAACACTTCTCTAGAGCACAGATCAGCAAACAGCTGCCAGGTCTGACCCACTGGTTAGTTTATAAAGTCATATTTTGCCACAGCCATTTATATTCATTTGCATACTGTTATGGCATTTTTTTTCCAGAAAGTTCTGTAAGGATTGCTCAAGAGCAGGGGTCAGCAAACTACAACCCATGGACCAAATCTGGCCTATTGCCTGTTTTATAAATAAAGTTTTATTGGAACAAAATTAATTTATATATTGCCTATGGCTGCTCTCTGAACTACAAGCCTATAACACAGAAAAATCTAGGTGTTGTGCTTCATATATAGGAAGAGCATGCTGACGTCTTGTCTATAGAAATTCTCACAACTGACCATCACTGATCTAAAATTCATTCTCACAGTGTGGTCCCTGGGCCAGGAGCATCAGCACCCTTGGCAATGTGTTGGAATACAAGTTCTCAGGCCCTGCTGCAGACCTGGTGATACAGCATTGCTGGAGGTGGCCCAGGAATCTGGGTATGAACCTGCATTCCAGGCAATTCTGATGCTCCCTTAAGTCAAAAAACTTCAGTTCCAAGACACTCTTTGGAGGGAGTGCCAACAAGTGACTGGCACAACAAGGGTGCTAAATGGGCTCCTGTGGATAACAGAAGAGTTTGGAAAGATGTCAGGAGAGTGACATCCTGTCTGCTGCCTGGTCCCTCTGCAGCAAAGGCTTTGAAGGCCTTCCATGGGGGATGTGCCAACCACAAGAGACCCTCACACCAGGCGCCTGCTGTGTGGATGCCCAGGCCCTGCCGCCTGCAGGCCCCACCCTGCCCGCCTGTGGAGCGTCAGCACATTTGGAGCTGCCTCCACGCATAAATTCATGGACCAGCTGTCTCTTTTAATCTGGTTGCAAGATAAAACCATTAATAGATGTCAGACACATTGGCAATGATCTCTTCATTAATAATTTCCCCCTTTCTGAGGATAAAAAAATTAGTAACAAGCAACCATCAATAATTCAGAAATACAAGTTAACCTTTCTATTAGCAGAGTCACTGTGCACACACCACACACTCTTCCAGAGCCAGGAGCTCTGGCTGGAGTAATGTTTGTATGGCAGGAATATGAATACACATTAATGCTGTCTGTCAAGACCTGCAAATATAAATAACCCAAATGCAAGTCAGAAATCGTATGTTTCAAGTTTAACCTCACGATCCAACCATTTGGTTTTGTAAAAGCACACATTATCCCATAATATGGCCCTGTCCAAAAGCAAGATTGACGAAGAAATCCATTTTCAATTTGAGGCTCTTATGGTCAAAAAAATTTTTCCTTATACCAAACTAACACTGCTGCTCTATAATTTCCTCCCTTCAAAAGCTAGCTCTTCTCTCCGGAGACACACAGAAATGGCCTGGTCACATCTCCAAGTAGCCTTTCTTTGGATGTTGGATGTGCTCCAGGCATGCATTCTGTTCCTTATAATCTTCCTGGTCCTATTTGTATCTGATTTTCAGGTCCCCATCACTGGTTCCTCTCGGACACCGCTTTTGTAAGAAAGCTTTGCACCTGCCCATTCCTCAAACCTCGGTTCACCACCCGTATGACCACATACTAGTCACTCTGCCTCTCCAAATCTGTTTCCCCATCTGTGAAATTGGGGTGATTATTCCCACCTCACTGAGCTGATGTGAGAATTAAGTGAGTTAATGGATGTAAACACACCTACAATAGGACCTTGCTGATTCACCAGATTATTGCCTGTGATTTCTTCCTACTTCCAAGCCTTTGATAGATCATACACCCCAGCTTTGACTCCAGGCCAATTCTGTGAGATACCTAGCCAGGAGCATTGTGCAGATAGCCAGCTGCCTCTCTTTGGGCCAAACACTGCACATGATCTAGATATTGGCAAGTAGAACTCAGAATCCAGGCTGCCGTGCATCTAATACTTGGACTTCATCTTGCCCAAGTGGAGTCTGTCAAGCAGCTGTTTCTTTTAATTAAAAAGGAAGCCAAGTGAAGTGTGGCAAACACCTGCCATGGCTGTTTGCACCCCCGGCATGCACCTGGCCTTGTGCTGAGCACTGAGGATGTCAAGTGAAAGTGGCCCATCTGCAGGAACCCCCAGCCAGCCCATGCTGAGATCACAGCAGCACACCAGAGAATGGATGGTGTCAATGTTAGAATGATAGCCCTTAAACATGCCTGAGATATGGCCCCAGCCTTGCGTCAAGCAGCATGGCTTTTCTGGCAAAGCAAAGGGAAAGCCACTGTGCCCAGCAGCTAGTGCTCTGGAGTTGGACACATGCCTCTTTAGCATTGAGGTTCCCCCAAGACTTTCAGCCCTTCTCCTAGTGCAGACTCCAAACTTGAATCCTAGAAGGATCCAAGTAGGGTTGGACTCATCATGATGAGATGAGGTAAATCTGTTACTCTTCCCCATCCCTTGCACCCAACCTGTCACCCACCAGCTAGGAAGCCACACTGATACCCCCACTGCCTGCAGCATGAAGTCCACAGGCTGCACCATGGCCAAAAAGACTGTCACCTGGCCAGGCCCAGCCTCCCTTTGTAGCCCATCCCCTCCCTCTTTCATCTTAGACTCCTCCCATAGTGAAGTCCTCACCAGGCAAAGAACAAAAGAAGAGAATTCCAAGTGGCTGCAACAGCCTGGGCAAGTGACCACAGGCCTGAAAGAGTCTGTGTCCTCAGAGGTGAGGAGGTGCCTGAAAGCCCGGGGTCTTAGGTGTGGTGGCTCTCTGTGATCTGATTTCATTCCCTGGGCTGCACCTCCACACTCTTTATTCCAAGCCACACAGGACTCTTCCAGTTATCTTCCTCTGGGTCTTTGCCTGTGTATGTCCCTCCCTCTGGGATGCCAAATTCAAGATCGTTAGCCTTCTTTATCCTTATTTGGGCAGCCCGATCCTTATCCTTCCAGGCTGTACTTTGAGCAGTATCCTCAGACTGGGTAAAGAATTCATACCCTTTCCATTCCTACCATTCACAGATCCACCTTCTCCACAAGGATGCAGCATCTGAGCCTGCCAGGGCTGTGTCTTACCCACCCCACTGCCCACAAAGCCAAGCCCTAGTGTAGCATACAGCAGGCCATATCTTATACCCTGAGCCACTATTTGCAGCTACTTTAAAGAATGCATAATGTATTAGCTACTGTTATTCTCTTATTATTTTGTTATGAAATTTTACTTTTTTCCATAAAATAAAAAGTTAAATTTTTTTTAAAGGTTAGGGCTAAGTTTGCCTTCCAGAGCCAAATATATTAAAGATGAGTTGCTTCTAAACAGCAGGGATGGTACCTGATTGTAAAAGTCAATGGAAGGCCACTTCATCAGACGGGAACCCAAGGAAGGCTCTCAGGTGCACAGAATGGGATGTGTCAGGGTGACACTTCCCAACTGTCCTTGATCCCAGGAACCAGCAAGAGCGCTTGTTAATAATGCAGAGTCCTCCGTCATCCCAGGTTGATAAACTCAAACCTTCAGGGAAAGGCTTAGAAATTTGTGCCGTTTATGAGTCTCATGAAAAGTAAATGGGTAACTGTTGAGGACCACACAGGAGCACCAGGGACTTTGCTCTTGTCCAGCTGGCAGAAACACCTGCCAGAGGGCAACCACAGCAAAGGCCTTAGAGACCCCAGCAGCTGACTGCCCGTGGTGCTGAGCCCGCGCCACATGGGTGGGGTTTGTCCACTTCCCCACCCCATGCCACCCCCGCACATCTCAGCAACACTTCTGTCTAGGAGTAGTTACAAAATTGGACAGTGACACCTCTATATGCAGTTCTCACAGCTTAGCACCTTCAGTAAAACTTGAGATCTTCTGCTTCCCAAATTCTATCTGAAAATAAACTAGTAAGCTAGGCATGGTTAGTGTATTCCTATAATCCCAGAACTTTGAAAGTTTGAGGCAAGAAGATCATGAGTTCAAGCCCAACCCAACCAACTTAGTAATTTAGCGAGATCCTGCCTCAAAATTTAAAAAATAAAGGCTGAGTGTAGCTCAGTGAGAGGCCCTGGGTTCATTCCCAGTTATCCACCCCTCCAATGGTTCACATCCCATCTTTTGGCCCAGGAAAGGCTTAGCCCAGGGAAGTGGGTGAGTCCTAAAACAATCAGCCTAGGTTCATCTGTTTATCTCTCTGTGTTGATGATGGTCACAGTAACCGACAATCCTGCAAAGACTGAGTGGATGGAGGGCGAGGGGTTCACCCAGGGATCATGGGCAATCCAGTAACCTCTCTTATGAGTCATAATGCCCCTTTGCCCTTCTAGTAAGTTGTCTAGAAGTCTAAGCAGTTACCTAGGGTCCACCATCCGCCTACCTCCTCCTCTTCCTCCTCCTCTTCCTCCTCTCTGTTTTTAATCAGCCAGTAACTCTGTAGCTCAGTAGTGGTAAACTATGGCAGTGGGCTGTTTGTCCTCTTTGAAAGCTTTGAAAGCTTCACCATCACTGCCATAGCTGAGTCCCTAGAATGCTGGTTCCTTAAGTTTCAGAAAATTATGTCTGTGTAAGAAGTATTTTATTACACTACATAGAAATATATTGCACCCAAAATTTAACCACAAATTTCAGCCCCCAGGAGCCGCAAGCACACACGCACACACACACACACACACACACACACACACACTCATGCTCACATACACAATGGAACCGAGCCATGGTGATGGCGGAGGGCTTCTGAGTGCACAGAGATTGTTTTCAGGTGCAAAGGGTCAGAATACACACATTGATTCAAGCCATTCTTATGTCAAAAAGAACGTTGACAAATCATTACTTCTATAAGCTGAAAAAAAACACTAATAACTCAAGGTAGAATCAGAGTGAGTTTAAAGTGAACATGAGGAATTGAGGGTACACACTCAGCATATAAAACCCCAGAAAACACCACCTGGGAGCACAGGAATCATCTATCTTATCTGGAAGCCTGTCTCCGGAGTGGCACATTTGGGGATTGGTTTGAGGACGGAGTGTGCGCTCTGGGAACAGAGCTGAAAGGTAGGGGTGCGGCTGGGGGCCATCACTGATAAACACTGTGTGCACTCGGATTGCCTACCACCGAGGCTTAAAGATTGATGATTGTGAGGACTTCGCCTTTGGCTTTGCTTTGAACCTGGAGTTTCTGAGTACTTACCTTGAACCCCATGGCCCTCCAGCTCTCTTATCATTCCCCCAATTACAGATGAGGAAACTGAGGCACAGGAAGTTTTAATGGCTTCAGATTGATATTGGTTTTAGATTTTATTTTTCCAACAAGAGCTCCTGGACATTTTAAAGCCACTGTAACTGTGTTTCCCAGTCAGGAGCCAGAAACAGAATCAACCGGGAACTTCGAGCCTGCCCATCTCAAATCCCTTTTCAATTGACAGAGAGTTCAGTGGAGCTTGGCTAATAAGCAGAAACAAACAAGGTTCAGTTTACCCAGAATAATATATAGCATCTATAGTAAGTTGTAGGCTAGGTTCTTCCCAGAGCAAGAGAATATGCAGTCATAGTTTGGGCAGTCTTGTTTCTTCTGGACTGTGCTTTCTGCATCTTTCAGGCCTTTCCTTATCTACCCCGTGAGCAGCTGAGATGAGATACATCATATACCCCCAAAACCCCACACTGGAAAGGTTAATGCTTCCCCAGTGCCCAGCTGGGGTCAAAACCCCCTTATCAGGAGACAAGATATCTATATAATTCTTCTCTATGCAAGCAGTAAAGCCCTGTGGATGTTTTAAAATGAAGTACATGAAATTTTAAAACCTGTTAATAAAGTTTCTCTACTCTGATGGAATTAAAAAATCAGCCATAGATAAATGTTAAAGATTTCCTTACTGCTAATAATGCTTCCCCCTCATCCCTCTTTTTTCCCTCCTCCAACTCTTCCAACATGAATTTATTTTCTATTTGAAAGCCAATCTCACTGGTTATTAGATATTCTCCCTGCTGTCACTATCAGTAAATTATTAAACAGCTGACCAAGCTTTGTTTTAAAATGATTCTCTTATGAAGCTGGTGATATATTTGCTATGAATACCGAATGGTGCCGCGGTCTCTGAGGACACGTGAATGATTCCTATTTACTACCTTTAGCAAAATGTGTGTGCAATTAGCAGCAAGCACTCGACTTGAATCACAGGCAGTGAGATGCGTGTAGCTCATTTACATGGGGCTCTCTCCCCTCACTATACATGCACTCCCTGCTAGAAGAACTACGTTCAGCTTCCAGACTGTGTCACCAAGTAGCCGGTGCTCTTACCTTTCATCATTCCTCACCTATCTTGTCCCACCTCAGACTTGGACATGCTTGTGGTAATCCCTTCCTTACTTAATGAAGCAGCTGATTTGTAGTGAATTTCTATTCAAAGAAAATCAGCCTGATTGGGATAAACTTACTGAACTTGTCTATATTTCTACTGCCTCACCTGTAAAATAGAGGTCCTATGTCCTAACTCCTGGATTCTGTAATAAAAACAAGTGCCAAGCACAGTGCCTGACATCCAATAAGCCCTCAGGAACTGCTGGCTACTATTTCCCAGCCATTACTGCTTTAGTCCAGATTCTCTGGTTGTAAGCAACAGAGATTCTTTTTAAACTCATTCTAGCCAAAGATGAAATGTGTGGATTTACATATTCAAACAGTTGTTGGTCAGTTGAGATCTGACCTAGGAATTGGTTTTGGTTATTTGGATTCTCTGTTGTGTGCCACTTGATGAGGAAGTTGAGAGACAAGCAAGAGATGGGAAGGTAACTCAGAAATTGGTCAGGCAAACAACCGCTTCCAACCCTGACTGTGAAGGACAAGGAGAGGTTAATACCCGGAAAGTGGCACCATCACAGGTGCGCCCAAGGGAAGCTAAAGCTCCCTTTGATGCTAAGGAAGTCACCCCAAGCAATAGGAAAGGGCAATTCCTTGCTTCTCCTTTTCCCGTGCCTCCCACTCCCAGCACGCAGTCATTGTTTATCATTGGCCAAACTCCTGCAATCAGATAAGCAGGAGGCCAGGGAGAGGCCACAACAGGATTCTGTTCCTCTGAACAGAGCCAAGCAAGAAAAGGCAAGTATGGGTGATGGGAAACAGGCTCTGGACTGTGCAAAAGAAAAGGATAGTTGCATGGCCAGCCTCAGAAACTGGTCACCCTCAGAAGGGCTCTGCTTCCATTGCCCTTCACTCCACGTATCAGCTCTGTTTATCCAGCTTTGCTTACCAAGGAACATAGAGAACATAGAGATTTTCTAATATCCTCCCAACTCCAGATTCAAGGAAGACAGGGCTTTCTTTCCTTTCCCAGCTCCCACTTAAAGAATCCCCACTGGTCACATGTCTCTCCCTTGAACTAATGACAATGGTTGAATGATGAGATGCTATGATTTGGCCAGTTTGAGTCATGTGCTCATCATCCCTGGGCCAAAGAGACCAAATTTATTCTGAGAATCAGGGGAGACGGTGGAGAAAAAACCAGAGTATCCCCAAATCAGCCAAGGACTATTCTCCCAGTGGACTAGACTGGGAAATTTAGAGTATGGTGATCATCAGTTGTATTCATTATTTCCAATCCTCCTTCCCAAGACTTGGTAGGATGACACTTCTGGATCACCTTGAAATTAGGTGTGACCGGGTGAGTTGCTTTGGCCAACAAAACAAGAGCAAGAGTGATTCATGTTGCTTCCAGGCGAAAACTTTGCAACAGCAAATAACAGGGTATTTCCTTTTTCTTTATGAGGAATTCATGGAATAGAGCTTCTTGCCAGTTCTTAAGGGCCATGCTGTACAAGCCAATAAGCAAATGTTTGTGTTTTAGGTCACACCAATTTGGTGACTTGGTAGTTTGTTGGTTTGTTTGTTTCTCTGGTGGTGGTAGTGGTTATAGTAGTAGAATCTGGACCACTCTGGCTGATTCGTTCAATAAGAAAAGCATTCAAAACAGTAAGTCTTCTCAAACTTGTCCCCGGATAGCTGCCCTTCAAAGCAAGACTGAGCACTAGTCTGAAACAGCCATAAATGTAAGTAGAGGACAGAGAAGAAATGGTATGGTACTCGTTATTCTTGGTATCAGCTGCCAAGTCTCTCTTCCCTTCTGCCTCACACTAACATTTGCCCAACTTGATAACGAGAGTTAAAAGCCACCATGCACTAATCACTTGTCACATGCCATACACCATATGAAGCATCCTTGGTATACTGTATTTACAAGTGTGTGGAACATTGTCATCCTCAGACTTCAGAAGTGAAAATCAAGATGCTGAGCAGCAATCTAACATGTCCAAAGCCACACAGCGGGTTGAGCCAGAATTCAGCCTCCAGATTATCTGGTCAGAAAATGTAATCTTAACTGCTATTTTTTTTTTAAAAATCTCCTTTGTAGAATCCCAAAAATATCTCCCACATCTGGAACAACCTGCCCCCGTAGGATTATACCTGTATTAGCACTGCTTTCCCAGATGATGTGGTCCACCCTGTCCTGGTGATGAGGGATCTAAAGGGTTCTGGTTGGGTAGTACTGATGATTTGCTGTCAGATCAGTTTGATTACGGATCCCATGAAGGTTTCCATTCTGGCTCTTTCGACAGCACTTTTGTCTTAATCTTTTAGAGCAAGCTCTTATGTTGTTCCTGAAATCTAGAAATATGATCCACTTCACATCCTTATATCTAAGTGATTACTGCTATCCTGTGCTACTGAGTGCTGGACTTTATCTTATGTGGACAATTGGATATGTCTGACCACCTGCCCACTCACCCCATCTGATCTCATTGTAACCAGTTTGGCCCCCTCATAGCCAACCAAATTTACCTCAAATGGAGTCCTTGTAACTGGTGAGAATTTTCTCTCTACTTATTTTAACAAATAATCTTAGATCATCCACCAGGTACCAATCTCAAACTAGGTACTAGATGTAAGTTGGTGAAAAAATTAGACACTCATTACTTTAAAGAGCTCACCTTTGAATGAGAAAGTCACACAAAGCATACATAATTGCATTAGTGTATAATGTATACTATTCTGGAAATTTCTGAGTTACTCTGCCCCTACAGTCACAACTCCAAGAACTCTGCTTTCCTGTGCTGTTCTTTCCTGGATGTTTATCAGTTGTCAGTACAAGTGGATTACAAATCCATACTGTATCAGTAGATGCCATCAGGTGCTATGCCCAAGCCTATGGATATGTTTCTTTAATTGTCCTAGATCTTGTTATGTGTTCAGGGACAGGAAAGAGATAATGTTGACATAAACAAGGGGAAGGGCCCAAGGAATGGTTAAGAGATAGAAATGGCAGGATATAAGGGTAAGAGAGGGGAAAGGAGGCCAGTTGAAGAAAATGCAGGAGTCATAACAACTGCATAGTTCCTGTAGGTAAGGAAGAGAGGGAAGGCTGAGCTGCAGATTAGATCATAAGCTGTAGCCAATGAGTTTGCTATTCCAACCACACAAAGTATCTTTGATAAGAAACCACCCCTTATTTAAATGACAATAATTAGCACTGTCTTTAGCAAACTCATCACTAAAAGCCATCAATCCTCATGGTCAAGTCTCATGACAGAATCTGATCCCCTCGCAGCTGGCGGAGGTTGGAGGGGAATCCCTGTGAAGGTCTCTGAACACACATAATCTGCTCTCTGTTCGATTCATATCTCACTAATGCTTCCCAGCTCTGTAAGTATGCGTTGCAATCTTCTGCCTCCCAGAGGAGAGAATGGAGAGAGGGAAATCCGAGAGACTTTTCCACGCTCGAGGAAGAGCCTCAGTCCATCGGCCTCAAAGGGCCCTGGGCTCTTCTTCCAGTGCACTGTGCTTTCTAGGAATGTCCACCAAATTGTCAGCGTTGGATGGCTGGAGCTGGATTTCAAAAAATCCACCCACTGGGAGTCATGACAAGGAAGTCAGGTACCCCAGGACAAACCATTCTGTCTTAGGGCTCAGCACAGGTGTTGCCAGGTAGGGAAGGACCGAGTGATACTTGGGAAGAGCAAGCACTACCATTCTCTCTTACTCTGTAAACATTTTCCTTTGAAAAAGTGGACATTGAAGCCAGGCTCAGAAAGGCCTACATGCAGAACCTGGCTCCAATAAGTCAATTCAATATTTTAATTAATGATCACATTTTACAATAAAGAAGGAGATACAGTGCATCTACCCATTAAAATGAGAAGAAGGTTTGTGGAGACTTCAGAGTCCAGAATTAGTGCTGCATAATAAGCATGCTGCCTTCAACTTCTGCATCCATGAAGCCTCAGTGAAAATGCTTTCTATCCTTTGGAAAAGTATTCCATCTGTGGAATCAGCTTCTTGATAAGGCAGTAATTACTGGAGCAATTTTAGCAGGTACAAAGGCATTTTTTAATAATCTCAATTATTTAAAAGCCAATTAATTATCTAGTCCATGGATCAGAGGCCAAAGGGGATTTTTCTGTATAAAAATGGTTACCATGACAGAGAAAAGGGGGAATTCAGCTGCCTTCAAATAGCTGCTTTCTGTGACTTTGTAGTTACAGCTATTGTGCTTGGTAGAGCTGGTGGAGGTTCAACCACTAGCTTGCACAAATGGAGTCCTGGATCCCAGGCCTGGCACCACCACTGACTGCTTCTTCCTAAAGTAATTAACTTTTACTTATGGTTCTATGAAAGCAAAGAAGAGGATACCAGAGATAGATGGTCTCTGAGCCTCTGTCAGATTTTGACAATCTATAGTTCTATGGGAGCTGTTTTGTTTTATTTTGCTTTGCTTTGCTTTGTTTTTTGGTACAGCTGTTAAAAATTTCTCCTCTGGAGAGGAAAAATAAGGAAAACTGACAAACACTTAAAGGCAGGGATCATATTTGGGTTTGGAAAAACAGTTGAACAACTGCCTAGGGTGGGTTAGCTTGGGGAAAGAAGGCAAGGGGTCAATGATACATGTTTGACAGATAAATGTGCTCCTATAAATGTGGATGTGTTTACTTTGGCAGTAGAAAAAGCCTCCCCCATTCACTGAGCATTGACTGCATCTAGGCACTGAGTGAGGTTGGACTTTGCCTCCAAAGGCATTGCAAGGCAGGCACACCTGGCCCAGATGGTAGCCCACCAGTGGGTCTATTTGGGTTATCAAGTCAGAATATCCTGGAATCTAAGGCTCTGCTTTCTCATATGGGCATGACCAGTCATGTCTGGAACCCCTTCAACCCACCCTGAAGACCATCAGAGTTTGTATGTGCCCTTTGCAGGCACAATGGCTTTGCCAAGGAGTAACCACTTCCAACACATGTCCTTCCCACTTGAGAAGTTTTCAAGCAGAATCAGAAGAGCTTGCAAGTTTATCATCTTGCTGGTTCCTCCAGCACCCATAGTGGGTTCCTTCATGACTGACTCCTAGAGTAGCAGGACAATGGGTTCAAACCTCTGCTCTGCACCCCCTGGCTTTTCAACCTGTGGCAAATCACATAGCCTCATTCTGCTTCAGTTACCCTCTGTATAAAAATACTATTGTAGAGATTAAAAGGAAGTTCCTTGCAATGAGTCTTTGTACTCCCACCACACATGGAGATGGGCTTTCTCTGAGAGGTAATCAGGTCTTGAGTGTTGAGTCCTTCTGAATGAGATTGGTCTCTTTATAAAAACTGGCCAGAGAACATGTGTGAATACAAGGAGAAGTCAATCATCTGCAACCAGAAAGAGAACCCTCATCAGAACTGACCATGTTGGCACCTGATCTCAGACTTCATCCTTCAGAACGGTGAGATAAATTTCTGTTGTTTATAAGCCACCTAGTCTATGGTACTTTGGTATAACAGGCTGAATTGAGCCTTGCCTGCATGTAGATGTGATATAAGTAATAAATAAGTTATGTGACTTTGTGCAGTTTTCATCAGTGCTATAAGGTTAAGCTGCCCTTATTTCTAAATTGGGATAATAATCTTTGTACATCTATTCAACAGCTGTTTACTGAGCTCCTATTAAGTGCCCTGTTATAAGAGCTGAATATATCACATTAAATAAAATGAGATCCGTGTTCTCATGGAGTTTGTATTCTTTTGGATATAAGTGATGGTCAGGACAGTCAAATCAATGTGTGATGTGGAAAAGGAAAAGGTGATAACATCTGAGCAGCAATCTGGATCAATTGAGCCAAGTGAGTTCAGGCAGGAAGGAGATTCCACCCCGAGAGAACAGTACATGCAGAGGATTTAAGGGAGGATCATGCATGGCATGTGAATGAGACCACTAGGGACAGCAATGCATAGGAGAGAAGTGAGTAAATGAGATTCTGGGTGAGGAGAGACTCTGGCTGCAGCACAGTGTGTCATAAGCAGGATAGGCCCTGCAGAGGCTCCTGAGTGTGTTTGGGGGCCATTAGAGGCACTAGAAGGAAGATTGACATGATTTGACATGGACACAAGTTAATGTAATGCATGACAGAACATGGGGCACTGGGACAGGTGAAAAGCATTCTAGAAGTTACAGAAGGGGCCAGGGATATAGTTCAGCAGCATAGCATTTGCCTGGCAAGCTTGAAGTCCTGAGTTCGACTTCTGGCTCAAAAAAAAAAAAAAGGCAGCTATGGAAGACTCAGAACTTCAAGAATAAAAGAGCATTTGAACCAAGAGTGTGTTCAATGGGAAGAAACCAATATTTGAAATGAAAGTTGCAAGCATGAGTCTTATCAAATCACTTGCCATTGTCTCCTCTTTGTGCCTTGCCCTGGGCTAGGTGCCAAGGATTCAGTGGTGACTCCACTGTAAGAGATTAGACTGGTGATGATTTCTGTGAAGCCAATAGGATTGAAGGCCTATTTGTTATTGCTGCATTGCTTAGCTAGGTGGTGATCTCTACCACTGACTGAGATGCTTATCTAACAGATAAGCTGGCTTGTCTAACAGATATGCAGATCTCACAATCCAAGACATGATGATCTGGTGGAGGTAACTCCATCAGTGCACTCACTTCACACCCATTCTCAAGGAAATCTGCATTGTCTTTGGCCATTAAGATAACACCAGGCTTCTTATTTTCTCAGAGAATTAAAAACTATTATAAAATTCAGCCTGAGAAAATAAATCATCCCAGAGAAGAAGCAATCTAGCCTTAGTAGTCCTCTTTAAGGAGTGCTGATTTTGTGAAAGGAAATTTTCAAAGTGTTTTATATCAAGGAACTCATTTGATCTGCTGCTTGCCGTACAGCTGCCAGCTCCTCCATGTTTTGGCCTGTGGACTTTCTCTTCCTGATAGAGTCCTCTTGGTATGGCAAGCAGTGGATTAGTACCTCTTCCGTGTGTTTCGCCCATACATGCACACACATGCAATGCACTCATCTGCATGCATTCACAAGGGCAGCCATCAATTAAGGACAGATGGGAATTGATATGTAAATGCTCCAGCTCCTTCACTTCTCAAGCCTGTGTTTTACTGTGAGGTGCTTGTTAAGAACAGGTTCCCAGATCTCCTTGGCAGGATTAAGTTCCAGTTACCTACAGTGATAACTTGCTCAGTAAATCACAATTTATTCCTCATTTACTTTCCAAACTCCTACTGTTCATCTACCTTCATTTCCCAATTAACTACTTGCTCTTAAATCTATTCTTGAGGTCTTCTTGCAGGGAAATCCAGATTAAGACACTGTCCCATGAGAGAGGAAAGTCCCACTGTCATCTTTACTTCAAAACTGAGAAAACCAAAGCAGTGAGAGATTGACTAATTTGTCCAAAGTTACACAGCGTATAAGCCCTAAATCCTGACTTTAAACCACCAGGCTCCAAAATCTGTGCTAAAAATGCCATGTTCCGCTGCCTTCAGTTGAGAGAACAACCATAGCTGCAGAACCCCAGCTTTATCTCCCTGCAATGTGAGACACACATATTGGAGTGCATGCACATTCTCCCAGATTCATCTACAACCTCCTCTTTGGAGATTCCAGCATGTAATTCAGAAGCATGTCTGAGAAGGTATTTGATGTGATTTTCAATGCAGAGCCACCACAAGGTGATCCATCAGCAAGCTGTCTTTGACAGAATTGATCTCCCAGGTCAGGAAACAAACCTCTATTTACGTAGGATGCACTTAGAATGTGCCCTCTTAGTAGCACACGGAAGATAAAGCACAGTCAATGACAGTTCTTGTCAATGAGTTTGTTATGGCAAAAGGGGAAATGCAAGCCTCTCTGGTCTCATGCTGCTGCAGATGCTCTGGATGTATGCCCTTTTCTTTATTTTTTTTGGTATGATAAACACTTGGCCCAAGTCTTTTAGCCCTACCTGTCAATTCCTTGATGTTTTCAAGTCCTTTTTGACCCAAGGTTTTTCACCCAGCAGCACAAAAGTAAAATGAGTACTTACATGGATCCCAGGCCATCAACAATTCTTTTGCTCTCAAAGTAGATCTCTCTGATTTTTCAATTTTGTTTCATGTCTAGATGAGTAATTTCAGGACCACAAGGTTGGTGAAGTCAGAGCTTTCCTACTCAAGATTTCTTGCCTTAGTGCAAAAAGAAAAAACCCATTGTAGCAAATGGTCTATGTGATTCATATGTTGCAGGTGTCAATGAAAATACTTTTTCCTTAAGGATACTTCAAATATCCTGGACCATAATGGTAGGGAACAATCCCAGAAAGTGAGAAGAGCATTTTTGGGGACCACAAATTATAAATTGAGCCTAGGGGACATACAAGGCTGTCCTTGTCCTGCCCTTTGAGCCAGATTGGAACATGAAAACTCTCTGCTCTTTTTAGTCACAACTGGAAGCTCTAGGGCTAGTGACTGCTGTGGCACTCATAGGGCAAGATAAGACTTGCTGAAGAAGATAAGCATCTGGGGAAATTATAGTTTCCTTATTGCCCCCTACCCCATCTTATCCTTGAAAGAGGCTTTACCATTCTTTTACCATTACTGTTCCTGGGAACACTCACTGCCTCCACCCACTGTCCTTGACACAGATGTAATTAATAAATACACAAGTTCTGGCTTCTCTGTGGCCTTTTGTTCCTCCATGAACAACTGGTCATCCAAGGTCCCTGCATTGCTACTTTACATTGTCTCTTTGTCTTTTTTCTTTTACCATGTACCGTAAACCTAGCAGGAGATCAGAGTCCACTGGAGGGAGTCTCTAAAAACTGGCGCCCAAACAGGGACCTAAGCCCACCTTGTTCTTGCCTGCCTGGCATACTGGGAGTGTTCTGACAGCATTTGGATCTCACAGGATAATTCTGGAGGCTTCAGGCACAAAGCTAAAATAAATGCTTTCAATATAGCTAATAATTTTGCTGAGATTAAAACAAGAGAATCTCTTTTAAAGAACAGTTTCAAGTACTCAATACCAGTGAGCAGTATTACCAAAATGCTCTAGGAAATAATTAAGTGTAATCCTTTTCTCCCACAAATAGGAACTTTGGATTTTAAAACTTGGGACAAGGACAGCCTTAGATGTCTCCTAGACTCGGTTTATGATTTGTAGTCCCCAACAGAGCATGATTTAAATAATTTTATATTATATATTTCTTGTCACTAGAAGATCTTATCCATTTTATTTTAGGGTAAAATTTGAGCTATAAAGAATGAGAAATTGAGGAATATAAGGTCTGATCAAAACTGCCTCTGCTGGTTTAAAGAGTAATGTTTTCAAAATAAAACTTTACTTTTTTTCTTATGGCAAGGTTTTCTATTCTTTATTCATACCTCAAAGAAATTATAAATAATGCAGCTGGCTTCTTCTTGCTCTTCATACAAGCTTATCACATTCAACTAATGTGTAGAACTAAGTTTAAAACAGAGAAAGGAAGAAAGGGAAGTGGGAGGAACAAATGGAAGGAAGAGGTCAAGGGACCAAAGAAAAGAAAATAGTATGTGGAGGACATTTTTTCAGGTCCCAAACTATTATATCATTAACCATATACAATAAAATGCAGTGGGTGGTAATTCAATGCCTTACTTAACTTGCCTCAGTAAATTTACTCTTGTCATGCCTTAATTCCAGGGAATCTCATCTTGTCCATTCCATCATCTCAGTCACAGAATGGTGGTGACATCAAGCAAGACATACAGCTTCTTAAGTATACTTCATTCTACAATGTACTTTGAGGCTTCTCTACATGAAGACACTGACTAGCTTCTTGGAGATGTGTCCTATACTGCATCAGTCGAGACAAGCTACATCATGCTGTAAAAAGCAACACCCAAATTTCAATGGCTGAGAATAACAAAACCATAGGTCCTGTTTATTCCATGTGCCTGTTGTGGAAATACTGGGGTTTCTGCTTCACACTCAGGGAACCAGCTACAGGAGGCTCCATCTCTGTTCTTCTAGGATTGCCAAACAGGAAATGGGGACATGCAGAACCCCACAATAGTTCTTAAATATTCCAACATGGGCTAAGATAAAAGACAATACATGCATACATGGAAATGTCACAGTGAAACCCATTTATTTGTACAATTAGCATGTGTTAACAGTTAATAAAAAATTTTTTGAGACAGGGTCTCTCTTTGTAGTCCAGGCTGGCCTTGAGCTAATTATGTAGTGTAGGCTGACCCCAAACTTGTGAACGTCTTACTGTCTTGGTCTTACAATCTCTGGCATTACAGGTATTCACCATGTCCAACCAACAGTTAATAAAATTTTTAAAATAAACTTTTATATTTCAAAACTAACAAAAATGTTAACACATCAGCTGATAGATTTAAGTGTAGGTAATAAACAAGAAAGGCATAAAACACTTTTTAAAAAATGATTCTTACCCTGGAGGTGACAGAGTCACTCTAATCAAGTCTCATGGGCCAAAGCAAGTCCTAGCACTGTCACAGCTCAGAAGAGAAACACAGTCTTATGAGCCTACAAAAAGAGAAAACTTACACATTCTGTAACCAACAATGCCAACTACATATGTATATTCCTTCTGACACGAAAAAGCTCATTATCTTTTAAAGAGGACAATGCCAAAAAATTCTAGCAGTTCCCTAAGAACAAACTAAATGTCCCAAATTCAAAGAAGGCAAAACTCATCAAGAAGCTGAGCCTTGGAAAATAAGCAGAAATTCTGTAGGCAGAGATGAGAACGTGGTCATTTGAGGTACAAAGAAGAGAAGAACAGAAGTGAGAGGCCAAGAGCACGTGAGTGACAGTGCAGAAGAAGGAGCCCTCACTCCTCAGTATCCCTGGTCTAGGACTCCCTGCAGAGACAGAATCTGTGTTGCTCAAACCCTTATATAAAATGGGGTGGTATTTGCATGTAACCTAGGCATGTCTGCCCATACTTTAAATCATCTCCAGATAACTTCTGATACCAGCTACAATGCAAATTCTAGGTAACTAATTGTTACATCGTATCATTTAGGGGATAACAACAAGGAAAAATGTCTGTACATGTCAGTATAGACAAACTTTTTCAAATATTTTCCATCCACAGTTGGTTAAATCTATGCATGTGGAACCTGCATATGTAGAAGGCTAACTATAGTTTGTTTTGTTATGAGTAAAATGTGTATGTAGCAATGTATAAGAACTAAGAAAGGGGTGGGAAGAGCTTAGGGAAAAACTGCATGCCAAGCTAAGAAGGTTGGGCCATTATTCATTTGTCGATCAGTCCACAAATATGCGCGAGAACAATATTATACTCTGAAAACCTAGGAGCAAAATAATGAAAGCAGAAGACAGGGAATGGCTTCCAAAAGGACATTGAAAGAAGAACTGAGCTTTTTTTTTTTTTTTTTTTTTTTTTTTTTGAGTGAATTAATGAAGGGTAAGTTTATGGGGGTGAGGGGCTAAAACCAAAGGTGATTGAGATACAAGGTGTATGTAGCCTCACACCCAAAGATTACAGGAAGAACGAGACCAAGGAGAGCTGATTTGTGGGCCACAGGGGATGGTTAAGTAAACTTGGAGATACCAAGGGCAGGCAGATTTGCCCAGCACTTCTGTGCAGGTCATCAACTGTGTGGCGAGCCCTCTGGTGGACACTCTTGGTACTCGGCCTGATCATCAGCATTACCTACCTTTCCTGCACTGTCCCTGACTTCTGTGGGGGAAGCCACCCTGGCCTTTGCCTCCAGCCAGCCCTATCTGGGACTCAGAAGTGTGGCTTTGAGGCCCTGGAGCCACTTTGTTAATATGCAGGTGTCAAGTCCCACTGTTTCTTTCTCCCTGCAGCAGTCCCCGCAGGGTCTGACAGGTATAGAGTAGAAAGGTCCAGCTCTCAGGACAACTGCTGTACATAACTCCTGTTGCAGGATGCCCTGCAGGGTCAGGCTGAAGCTCCCTCTGTGCGTCTTTGACCTGAAGTCACATCTTCCCTCTGCACCCTCCCTTTCCAGGGCCTTCTCACATACCATCACTGGTTTCTCCTGGGAGCCGTTTCTTAATTCATCCCTTACAAACAGATGCCCACTTCAGGGTCTACTTTTGGGTAACCCAACCTACACCAAGCACCTATAGTATGCCAGACCTTTTGAAGGGCACTGGGATTTGGACACTGAAAGACGCATCCTGCCACAGAGCCCACACTCTGGTGGAGCCACAGAGGCGTACTCTGATGATTTCAGCACAATGTGTGAAGGTGTTGCGGGAGGGCGATGCTGGGGGAAGGAGTTGGGTGACAAGGTCAAGGGCTCTTCATCCATCTAAAGGAGGCAGAGAAGGCTTCATAGAGGAGATGACCCTTGATCTGCCTCTTTAAGAATGAAGAGGGTTTTCCTAAGGGAAAGGTACAGAAGAACATTAAAGGTAGAAAGAATAATAAGTCACAGTCAACGAGCATGAAGGGAAAATGTGGGTAGGAAGATTTCACATCATTTGCCACTGCGAGAGCAAAGGGCAGAATAGTGATGGACAGAGACTGTAGGTGACCAAGGAAGCCACCTAAGGTACGGGATACAAGCACAGCAGGAGAGCTGATCCTGGCCCCTGAGGTATCCTAGAGCTGCTCACAGAGGAAGGACACATGTGCTTTAGCCAGCACTCCTAGCCCAAGATGGTCTTCTGGGGCAGCGCTTGGTACACCAATCCCCAACAGCATTCAACTAGGGCTGTGGCCCATGTAGCTGGTTCCTGGGAACAAACAGGGAATGAGCAGGAACTAGCCAGTGCTTGTGTGGGAAATGTTTTAGTTTGGAGTCTCCTAGAAGAAAGCCTGAGATAAGGATTTTCACACCTGCAATTTATTTAAGAGATACAAGGAAATACCAGTAGAGGAGTGGAGAAGTGGGGCATGGAAGAGAGGCAGCCAAGGCAGGAAGTGTCTGTCGCTAAGCACCGAGCACCAAGTTTTCGCTGGAGGTGATGCAAGCTTAATTCCAAGACAGCCATGGGTAATGATGTCATACACACATGTCTGGGTGTTCCTGTCTCAAGAACAAGGTAACCAGGCTGAGTCTGTCTCCCATCCTCATCAGTCACTGTCTGAGAACTGCTCTCAGGCACTGTGAATTCCCTAGAAGGCAAGAGTGGACAGTGGGAGCCAAGCCACCATGCCCTGAAGCAGCCAGCATGGGGTGTCTGAATGGACACCCACACATGATCGAGGCTCTGGCTTCTTGTTCTTCTTTGCAGCCAAAGGTGAGAAGGGCCTGTAAGGGCCTCTCTTTTTCCTTCATGTGAAAGTTGGAAGAAGAATCAGAAAGAAAATCACATATTAAAAGGGGGTGGGATTTTTATCCATCCAAAAGCCATTCAAGCTTCATTATCCCTAACCTACTTGGGGCCTGTGTATCTGCCAATTGGCACAGATTCATTTCCTCACTCCATAAAGCAAGTGGCCAGGAGAAAGCTAGCTCATCATAACCCTTCTAAAGCCAAAACATAATCTGACTTGGGGTTTATAAAGAAAGCCTGGTTCTTGCCACCAGTGTTGAGCTGCTATTAATACATGACGTTCTACTGAACCAGAGAAGCAGCACATTTTTGAATGCCACAGCCATAAGGAAACACAAAGAGGTTTTCCCTAGTCCAGTGGTTTATAAACTGCTGTGGGCTTAGGAGCCCTGCAGAGGTGTCTGAGGCAGGTGAAGAAGTGGAGGGGAGGTTTCCTGCTTTTCTAACTTGGGTCCCCCAAGAAGATGAGCCAGAGACAGAAGTGCAAGCCTTGTATTTGGGAGGTGATCCCAGGAATCACAAGAAGTAGAGTGAAAAAGGGAATAGGAGGCAGCCAGTCAAAGTGTGTCATCGGAGGATTGGCCACAGTGCGCACTGAAACTGTGCCTCTCAGGGAACTAGGAAGCGAGCCTGCACCACACACAGCAAGGACGTCTAGTCTGAGGGTACGGGCGCTGGAGTATAAGTACCCCAACTTCCATTGGTTCAGGTTATCTTCCCATTGGTTCAAGTTATCCTATAGGCAGTTAACTCTCCCAGCACCTCCAGCCTGCCAGAAAAGAGAAAAAATAGACTCCGTGGCTCAGTGGAATTAACTGGAAGAAGCAGTGTGGGACCTAGCCTCTATTCTTACCCCTCTCAGAAGTGAGGATCAATTTGTATCTGTTTTTATGTGTCTATGAGTTGTGTTACAAGTGCTATCTAAAAGAGATATGCCAAGAAAAAATGAAAAGGCTTTTTTTTATTTAAAGAGAAAAAAAAACCAAAGCAGTAAAAGGGTAAAAGTAATACAGAATTTCAAGAAAAAAATACAGTAAGAAATCACTAGCTAATAGATTACATAGTCATCTTAGAAACAGTTACAAAGTGGACATTCATACAGTGAGATTGCAGTGTATGAATGCACTGCAATGATCCAACAAAAACTCAGTAATATAGTTTTCTATCCTACACACTTAAATATACATGCAGTTATATCCTTTAGACCACTTTCTTTTCCTCTCTTTTTTATAATAACAATTACACTTTTTGGGTTTTATTACTCCCACAGTTCTTCTAACTTATTTTTGAAGAGAAAAAGAAAAAAAAAAAAAACCAAATGTGACAAAGCAAAACAGAGTCAATTAGAACAGAAGGATGGACATAGTACATGATGCAAAAACAGAATACCAGGTGATCAAAGATGGTTACCATTATGCCTCTTGCTATCTTAAAGAGAGTTGCCTGGGGCTGGAGGTTTAGCTCAGCGGCATAAGCGCCTGCCTTGCAAGCAGGCAGTCGTGAGTTCAATCCCTGGTACCGATAAAAAGGAAAAAGACAAAAAAAAAAAAAAAGAGAGAGAGAGAGAGAGAGTTGCCTGTATCATCAGGTATACTAGAATTGAACAAAACAGTACAGAACAAGACCAATAAAACCTATGTTGGAGACCTTACAGAACTTCAAAAGAAAATAATAGTCAAACCATAATGGGCACCATAGTAAATCTTATTGCCTTCAAAGTGGTTGCCTATACCCTCAAACTTGATATTATCAAACAAAACAGAATAGAGTAAAATCAGTCAGAACAAGATGGAGAGAGCAATACAGGGGTTCAAATCAGGTTTTTTTAAAAAAAGTTTTAAAGCCTCTGGTTTTAGCCAATGCACTTATCTTACAACTGATGGTGCAG